TAGAGTTTAAAAATTCCAAGATCCGCATCTAGACTATCTAAAAACAGTAAATATACGTTATTTTGAAATAAAACTCTTTTTAAAACGGAAATAAAAGTTTCAAGTAAACTGACTGAAATTAGGCATTTTTATTTCTTTTAGTTATCTCTAAGCACACATTAATAAGTCTTGCTGTTTTTATATACTGTTTAAAAAAAATCTCTACGGTAAACAAATTACCTAAGATATATTTTTTATCTCCCAAATAGAAACCCATTTTTCTCAAATTCGAATTTTTATAGGAATAAACTTAAATCGAAAAAAGACATAGTGGTCTTTATAACAAAGTAAACCAATATTCTTCAGATTAAAATTCTAGTAGGAATAAACGTGAACAGAAAGAAGACATAGCGGTATTTATAATCAGTATAACAGAGTCAATTCATATGATTAAGATTAAAATTTTAATAGGAATAAACTTGAGCAGAAAGAAAACATAGTAGTATTTATAATTAGTATAACGCAATCCATATTCCTCAGATTAAAATTTTGATCTAAATAAACCTAAATCAAAAGAAGACATAGTAATCTGTATAATACAGTCAACTCATATTCGTCAGTTTAAAATTTTAATAGGAATAAACCAAAAGAAGATGTAGTGGTCTTTATAATAGAGCCAATCTCTAATAAACCGGGGGCGGATTAATCGAGGTTCGGACCAAGTGGTACTTGTTTGAAAATGTTTAAGCTTGTTTATATAGAACAACGCTAAAATTACTTCTCAAACCATTTGAACAGAGCAGCAGTTCTTAGGAAATAAGAGAGAGAAGATAATATATGGTGCAAAAGCAGTGACACTAGATGATGTCTTAGTATTTAGGAATTGTTTTCATTCCTAAATTAAATGTACATAATCTGAAATGTATCAAAATTATTTAATACTCCGTTAAAATCAATTGTCAAATCGTAAAAATAAATCAAGTGCATGGTCATTGATCTTTCGATTAACACTAACTCTTATCAAAATATACAGTAATATAAACATTGTTCTTTCTGCACGCTCTTCTAACTTTGAATGCTGATTGAATTTAAGTAACCCAATGAACTTATTCTCCAGATTTCAGAGCTTTAAAATACAGGTAAATCATTAATAATGCGTTTCTGCTAATTTAAACTATTGCTTATCCCTTTTTATGTTTTTTAACAGCTGAAGAATTAACCGAAAGTTTGGATCAATCCTGGACGTCGTGCTCGATATTACACCGGTTAATCAGAAGTCTACTCTTATGTACAAAGGTCTACATTTAAACGCAGAATAACGCAGTAATTTGGAAAATAATATCAGCCATTTCTCTCTACTTCTAATGTATGCACTTTCCTGTGGAAAGAATGAAGTAAAAGATAGATAGCTGAGGAGAACTGAAACAGAAATGCGAAAAATTTCAAAATAAAATTCCACGAAAAGTATTTTATTTTGAAATCCTGCTAAGCTGTTGTTATTTTATTTCAGAATAAAATAACAACAGCTTAGCAGGACTTTTATATAGAAAAGTGCTACTTTAGTTTCACACACGCAATTAAAACGTGAAGATCAGCACACGGAGATCATACCTTTAAATCAATTAATTAATTAGATATGAAATGAATTATCAGACCCCCCAGAATAGAAGCAAATTACAATTACAGACATATTTGCAATGTCGTTTGCTAAAATTCACAATGTTGTGACACATGTCATTAACACAGCATCTAACTGAAATATTTGTATATAAATATTTTTCATCTGCCAGCCAGATTCGATAATCCGGATTAGGTCTAAACATAGTATCGCTACAATAGTCGAGTAAATAGTATCGTTATAACAGTATAATTCCTCAAAATTTAATGATTTTTTTGTTTGTTTGTTTCTTTCACGATTAACGCTTGGTACACATTTTGAAATTAAAATATGAATATTGTAATTTTAAAATGAAAGTACTGAAAAATGCCTCATGCCATAATGCGGTATTCAAATTATATTAAAAAATTAATCTATTACTTGTAACAATACGAGTCGCACTTAAAGGCGAAAGAGCGCAGTTTGGAGTATAGCGATTAAAAAAGATGTGGGGATAGCTAATGAATTATATGTAAAGAAATGAGGCAAAGGCCCTATAACATGTTGTAAAATTCCGAAATAAATTCACAAAGAAATAATTGCATTTTAACTTAAAATGAGCCCAAACAAATTTTGCTGCTGAATGTTATGAGAATAACACACAAAAATTATAATTATAACTCTTTTTGCAATTATAATATTTATTAGCAATTAGAAGGTAATAGCAATTGTAATATTTACACATAACATTTCGTAGTTTGCATTAATTATATATAATGACTATTCCAGATCTATATACAGCGTTTAACAGAGGTCGCCAATTGCATTAAAGATAAAATTATTGTAATATGCACCCAAAATGTGCTTCTTTTTCATTGCAAATAAGGGAAAATTTACATACTGTTATGATGGCATTATTTCATTCCAAATAATAATGTTTACAATGAGTTTATGACAATAATGCCTGACAATACAGTGCCTTTTTTAGAATATTTTAGATTTAATATTCCTTCTGTCAACTACACATATTAATATATTTCATTAAATAAAAAAAAGATTACAGTTTTCCCTCACAAATTTCAAAACAATCAACTTTATGCTTCTGACCTTTAAGATTGAAACATCTGTGTTAAAAATGCATACGCCGTAAAATAACTACAGAGACTATTATGACAATGATTTAGTTAACAAACTGCCTAGATGAAGTATTTTAAAAAGCATTGAGAATACGAAAGTCTAATGTTTGAATAAAGTTGAATAAATAAACTGAATAGACAAGCCGGTGCTTTAGCGATTTGGTCTACGAAAATAGTGTTGGTGAACAAAGGTACAACAAAGAGATCAAAGCATTCCAACAAAAGGTATCAGCCGTTCTTCCGCTTAACATAATAAAGAACTAAATGTATTATGCATATCTGCTCCTCTGCTTGTGCAAAGGTTGCAGCAACAGCTGGAGCATAATCAATTTTCGAGCTGAAAGAATGCTGTCTTGAGGTTCAGAGTTAGCAGTTCTGCCAACAATTCGCTTCATCTTAGATGATATAACAAGGTTCCAGAAATATAGAACGCCTTTGAAAATTGCGCTGATGAAAACTGTTTAGACAATGCGCGGCAAACATATTTAAATTTATGAGGTAAATTCAAATGTGTTAAGCGGAGAGTTTAATTTCTTCTCACTCTTTCGCCACCTTACTAAATAAACACGTTTCATCGAAATGATCATCGGAATTGCATCGACTATCTTTGAATCTCAGCTGAGTTTATTGCTGAAGGGGAAAGCAATAAATATGCGAATGCAATGTAATTAACCAAAACATGCGGCTTCATATTTCCTAATTTCTGATTTTACGTTTTAATTTCTCTCCTTGTCACCCCTTTTTAGATTATTTAATTTAGATAAACCTACAGGTCTATTTATGACGTATCTTTTAATGCTTCTGTATGTTTCTACACCTTTTTTAAATAGTAATTAAATGTTACCTAAGTTTCTTACAGTCTCCTGTACACTACCTTGAGCAACATTGCCATTACGTTCTTCTCATATTTGTTTTGTCTTATTTTAACTGTTCAAAGTGATATATATAATAACGTATTATGTCTCCTATCATGCACATTATATTCTCATTGTAAGTCTGTTCCCATATAATTCACTTGCGAATACGCTTCATCAGGTGCGTCAAACTCGTGACCTTGACTTATTTTTCTGCGGTTCACAGTTAGAACATCACAAAAATATATAATTATAATTTACTAATAAAACTAGAAGCAAAAATTTATGAATAAAAATTGAGAGCAATACTGCTGTATAAAACGTGAAACCCACATCATACCAGTTGAAAACGATTCCGTTTTATATGGTTAAGTTAAATTTAAAATCCGTTTTATCTTTTGTGAGCGCAAAGTGCTAACAAACTGCAATCAAGAGATCCTGAGATTTTGTTATATGATTAGTTTTTTAGGAAATCAGCACAGAATAGATATACCATACGACTGACATCTATATCGGCATAAAATCGACATGACAGCTAAAAAATTAGTCTTGATCCCATGCCTGTGCCGAACCTACGCAGGTAAAAATAGCGTAGACGTTTAGTCTATTTGATTACGAATAAGCACGCAAGGGCTTATCTGCCTGAGATACCTTAGTGGAGAACTTTCTAAACGAAACTGGCTCGTTCGGCCGGTGATGGGTTCACCGAGCAGGTGACATCTGTGCATTTATTTTCTTTCGTTATTACATTATCAAAATTCCTTTTTTGTTGCATCGACCGCATGCTGTAACTATAATCGATCGCATGGCGGTGTCAGTTTTATGCCGTATCTATCTAGTGAATGTAAGCCAGTTTTTCATATATTGTTTTACGAAGAGAAGAATTGTTTTGAAGTATATTTCTTTAAACTGTCTTCATATACTGTCGCGTACTGGACGTAAATTAACACAGAATTTTTTGCTCCCAGTGTACAGCATAAAGCATTCAGCAATGATGCAAATAATGCACACAGCATGTCTTACGCAGCTATAATATTGTATCGCGCCGTTATAAGAAAAATTAAAGTGACGAATACAAAGGTTCCGATTTATAAACGCAACAACATTCTACACGTGTATAATAATAATAATAATAATAATAATAAAAGAGAGAGAGAGAGATTTATTTAAAGCTCCCATTTTGTTTCCATTCGCTCTATAAATATTATTCTTTCACTTACGATGCCGAAACGAAATTCCTAAAAATACGCATTCAAAATTGCAAACAAAAGTGTACTTACCCTCCACCTGCAAAACGTGGAATTCCGCCAGCTTTAGTTCAACTCACAAAATCCATATAAATCCCGTATTTCGGGAGCGGCACACAACACACCATTCCAAATTTAAATGAAATATAACAAAAATGTTCTAATCTGGAACTTTTGCGAAACATACCTCCTCCTGGGGGTAGAGTCTGAGACTTCTGTCGATCCGCAGCATGAGTCGGGGAATAAGTTCTCATGGAGGCGCTGTGTGGCAACGTCTGGGTTCTGTTGGCTGGCAGGTACTGCGCCGGCAAAGTCCCATAATACCCTATGGCAGGCGGTAAGGGTGCTTTGGAGGCCTGTTCCAAAATAGAATGTTAAAGTGAGTCAAAGGAACAAATAGCACATTCCGGAAATGAAGCGTTTGCCTCTCTTTTAATTCAATTTTTTCCTCACGGTCGTCTGCTAAAATGTTTACTTTCATTTGATGAGGCGCAGTCTGGTGGTGATGGAGACAATTTAAGCTAATGTTGTTGTTATCCAGTGTATCACCACCACCAACACCTGCCCCAAAATTTTGGCATTTCTTCTTTTACGTTCGCGTTGAGTTTAAAGGAAACTCTGTTTTCTTAAAATTATTTTTTAAAGTTAAATAAAAGAAAAATGGAAAAGAACGTTATGCGTGTCCAAATTTTACCATAGATTCTTCGCATAAAATATTTGTTTCTTTCTTTTCCCAGCCTCATTTCTGGTTTTTCGATCAATTAAAAAACTATGTATGCATCTATACAAAACTGGATATAAGAATTAAATATTTCCCAAAACATTTTTCGTATTACTAAATGTTGTCATTAAAAACGTGAATGAAAGAGAGAGTTATGCAATAATCGAAGAATTTGAATTTCCAAAACTAAATTAACCAAATGTTTCTACAGAAGGAAGATGTATCTAAACGATGAAGGCAAATAATAAACTTTTTGACGAGTACTAAAAGTGCTATCAAGTGATCAAAACCCTTGCGCTTCATTGACATCTTTAATTTAAATTTTGCTTTTAATATTATTTAACCTAGTTACAAGCATTGGATAAAAAGTATTGGCAGCACGTCGATTCTGAAAAGACTTTATTATCATTTAATCGCGTGCCATGTCTACCTTTACATTTAGTTTTATCAGTTATTATCAGTTAAAAAAGTTGTTTTAAACATTTATGAACTTTTACTATTAACTAATCAAATTAGTTAGCAAAGATTTTCCATAACAATTCATGATCCATATTAGCAGATTAACAAATAGCTTCTCCCAATTGGGCTTATGCTTAATTAAGTGTCCAGGCAAAGGCAGCAAAAATCTTTACCAGTGCGGTGTCTTCCCCCAATATTTTAAAAGTAATTCAGGAACGTGGCCTCAAAAGCCTCAGAAAAAGAAGACAATATAATGTAATAAAAATTACAAACAAGAAGCTGCTCTGCTAGTGCACGTCGCTAGGAAAACCTTTGAAAACTACAATGGAAAGAATAGACTGAAAAGGTGATCTCCTGTGCAATTTGATAAAGATAATAAAGCAGTTCTCGGCCGCGATCAAAACAAATTTTCCATCTTTCAAGAGTCAACATTTCCTTCTAGGCTTTCTATGAACTCTAAAATAGTACTCAACCTACTACAGCCATGCAACAAAAATTAATTAATTGACATCATTAAAGCGAAAGGGATCAGGACTGTTGAACAGTATCCAAAAGAAGACTTTGTACAGATGGTTCATCTGATGAGACAATCACTCATGGAGGTTCTGAAGTATTTCTGAAGACCCCAGACAATGCTATTAATCAACACAAAATTGGCGTTGCAGCCATAGTCTCTAACTCCACTTGCGAGCTTCTGGTAAAGCGGAGGCATTTGACATGTATTCCCTTCCCATTTCTGAGCAACCAGAAGGACTCGTTTTCTGTAACTCAAAGGCAATTCTGGATGGCAGCTCCTGATCAACAACAAGATCCACTTTCGCTTAAATGAGCTTCAAAATTAGGTAAGGTCTGCATTCTTCAATGGTTGCCTGCGCATGTCAACATCACAGGCAACGAGAACTCACATAAACTGGCAAAAGAGGCTCAAAATCTCAACAATAATAATAAAGTAAATATCACTCTCTCGGACGCAAATGCCATGACCAAATACAGGTTGAAAGAAAATTCAATTCCAATAAAGCACCGGCTCCATAACATCAATGGAGATCGACTTATAAATAAAATCATAGTCAGGCTTAGAACCGGCCATCACAGAGGAAAACCTACAGAAACTGTTAACCAGAGAACAGGGGCTCCATTACCTAGCTGACATGATGTCTGCCTCACACGGATTAAAGCCCCTGCCTCCAGAAGCTATTTATTATGACTAAGCAGAATAAGTTTACAGTGGCATACAAGGCCTTCAAGAACACAAGAACATAAGTAACATAGTCATAAAAGACCCTAAAGAAAGCATGTTACAAGTAGTACCTATAGCATTCAAACAATAAACCGAGTATACTTTCATAATTTGTACTGAAATTATGAAATACTTTCAAAACTGAGTCCAACTAATTTAAATAAAAACTAGTACAAACGAAATATAATACATCCATTACTGTATTATACACAATTAATATCAATTAGATTCACAAATTCAAGAAGAACCATTCAATTTAGAAAAAAAATGCATAAAGATAAACTAAGACAATAATAAACTGCCAAATAAAATTTTTTCATATGAATTCAGAATTAAGAACCAATAACTTTGATACCTGAACAATATTATCATAAAATACACTGAACCTGAGATATTATTACAATGCAAAACATAAATTTGGTTTAAAAACAAAACCACTCCAAGTAATATAAAAACTCTACATCAGGTTTGCTGGCAACGCGATAGAAATACAGTACAAGAATAATGCCAACATAAATATATGAAAAATTCCGATTCCAAAAACCACATACATTCAAAAATAAGTCAAAGAAAATTATTATAAAATACTGCCTTAAATGCACATTTTACAATAGAGAACTCAAGTAAAACCAATAAAATTCACAAAAACAGGTCAACTATTCAATTCAGAAAAGTGCAAAAAGGTATACAAAATAATTATTCTAGATTAGGTTTGCTGGCATCGCTAAGACAAATGCAATACAAGAAAAACGCCGACACAAAATTTTACAGAATTTCAAAATCAAAAACAAAATGCATTCAAGATTAAAGTAAAGAAAATTAATATAAAATAACTATCATGAATGCAAATTTTTATAATAGAATGCACAATTAATGCCTATCAAATTCACCAAAGTGAATCAATTCAATTACAAAAGAACGCATTAAAATATGCAAAATAATAAAATTGTCACAAAAATATTCTGTTAAATTTAATTAACAATTACAAAACTAATAGGCTACAAGTAACCGTTACAATTTATAAGAGCATAGATGCATTCAATGTCAGATACGTCTGTTCTACGTAAAACCACTTCTAATTTTAAATCAGTAACATAAGTAGTGGAAACAACAAAACTGAACAATAATAAGCATCAAACACACAAAGTTAAACAATTACCATTATACAGTAAAAATCTAACTGGCGCTGAAAGTCAATTACTCACTCCCAATAGAGATGATCTGAGAGAATTATTTACAGAAAAATTTAATAATTCCTGACAGAAAAGCATAATTTCCTTAAATTTCTTACTCTCACTAGAGTTTTTTAATATCATTTCAGCCCATTTTGGCCTGTGTTGATCTAAAGGTTTATTCAAGTGAAGGTTTTTTAGTAAATGGACAGTGAAAGATAAAGTGTTCAGGGTCTCCCAACTCCCCGCAAGAACAAAGCTCAGTCGTACGTAGTCCAAATCGGAAGAGATATGTATTAAAAGGTCCATGACCAGTGAAAAATTGAGTATAAAAATTCGATGTGCTTCTTTTACTGAGTGAAACTTTTGGAAAGAAAGAGAAGACTCGTCTTCCTGTGGAGTCATTAGTCCATCTTTCCTGCCATTTCACAAGCAGTGTATTTAAAGTCTCGCTCTTCAAGTGTGAAAAAGGCAATTTCGTTGGATTTTCAATTCCGTTGATATCATTAGCAGCCCATTTAGCTAAAGTATCTGCTTCTTCGTTGCCCAGTATGCCAACATGAGCTGGCACCCAGGTAAGAAGTGGTCTTTCAGATGAATTAAATCTTAGCAATTTCTCTTGAATAACTTGTACAATCGGATTTCTATTCGTAATGTCTGAGATAGCCTGCAGACTAGATAATGAATCACTGAAGATCTTAGTCTTGCCCGATAGATTTCTTTTAATGAGAGCTTAAGTGAGAGCAGCGTTTTATCGCTAAAAGTTCTGCCTGAAAAACAGTATTTCTGTTATCAAGCCTTCGAGTCCATGTATATACCTTTTGAGTATTGTTAAATACACAAAATGCACAACCTGTTCCACGTTCAGTTTTAGAACCATCTGTAAATAGAGCAATGTCATTGGCTACTGGAGCCGTATAGTATAAATTGACTGCAGATTTGAGTTTTAAAGAGGCAGGATGGCCAAGATTAGATGGAACCCGTAGTTCATAATCATTTACTAGGTGATGTTGGTTCCATAAATCCCCATTCAATCGTAATCGTAGGATCCGTCCTAAGAAAGAGTCTCTTTGAGCCTGCAGATCTAATAGAGGTATACCCGCCAAAATCTGCAGTGAGGCTGTCGAGGTTGTTCTATAACCTTTGGAAATAAGTAATAGCTGATGCCTCTGTATTGAATTCAGTAAGCCACTCACAGTTTTGTTCATATCAAAACCCTAAATGGAGACTCCGTACAAAAGAACTCTTTCAGTGATTGTTTTATACCACAGCCGCAAGATTTTTGGGGAAGTACCCCAATTAAGGCCCATAGTCTTTGTCATGCCATTCGTAAGAACGGCACATCTCTGTTTAAGATGTTTCACATGTGGAAACCAAGACAGCGTATTGCTGATAACAAAGCCTAAATATTTCAAGGTGTTTGCACATTTTATTGGCCTTCCATGGATTTTTATAGACGGATTTCGATGCATTTTTCTTTTCCTACCGATAAACAACATAGTAGTTTTTTCTCTTCGGAAATTCTTAATTTATGCATGTCTGCCCACTCTACAAACTTATTAATCGCTTGTTGAGCTCTTCTTACTTCAATGTCCTTTACGCCTGAGATAATTAACAGAGGAAATCGTCGGCATAAGCTTGCAAAGTTACTTGTTCAGTATTTTCAAACATACCAAAGGCCGAATTAGCGACTAAGTTCCACAGGGTTGGTCCTAAACAGGAACCCTGTGGACAGCCTCTTTGCAAATCTTTTATTAAAATTTCATTATCCAGGGTTAATTGAATTTTGCGTTGTTCCAAATAATTTCGAATTAAATTCAAAATTTCTACAGGGCAGTTTGCGCTATCCAATGCATCAATTATGTCCAGGCCACCAGACCGTGTCAAATGCACCACGTATATCAATGGAGATGATTAACGTGTGCCTTGTTACCATCCCTTGTTGCGTCTTTTACTGTGTTTAGCAGATTAAAACAGCCATTTCAGTTGAAACCCCCTTTTTAAATCCAAATTGAAAGTCGCTGATCACTTTATTTTTAGTTAGAAAATAATTTAGTCTGTTCAATATTAATTTTTCAAAGAGTTTATTTAAAGAAGAAAGAAGACTCACTGGTCTATAAGAAGACAAAATAGCAGGATCTTTACCTTTTTTGCCAAATAAAACTATTTCGGCAATTTTCATCTGCCGTGGAAATAAAGCCAATTTCCAACATGCTCGAAACAATTGGGGGAATTCTTTGAAAAGTATCTTTATGATAATATTATCAAGACCGTCTGGTCCGGGGGCCTTCTTAGACGGTAGAGAACGAATTGTATTTTCTAACTCCTCAAGCTCCAGGAGGGCAGAGTCACTTAAAGTAGAATTCCAAGTTTGATTTTTAAATTTTTCTCGCATTACTTTATGTAAATCCATATCGTCAATCTCCAAATCCAATGGAAATAACTCATCTAAAATTTTTTTATATTTCTCTCCCAGAGAAGTACAGTCCGGAGCTACCTCTACTGGCAGCTGAAGAGGTCGAAATACTCTGTCCACTGCAATCTTTTGAGTGATGCCATAAGGATTTTCAATAGCAGCACAAAATGCCTTCCAAGATTCACTTTTTGTCTTTATAATCAATCTTTTAAAAATTGCTAGTTCCTTCTTATAAGAAATTTTAAATGAATGCCTTATATTGTCATCCCTTTCTTTTTGCCCTTTCCCTTTCTTTTCATATTATATCCCTTTCGTCTACGCCTTAAAGCACGAACTTTGTTCCTTTTTATTGTGAGCGAGTCAGACCACCATGATGTAGAGGTTTTAATTCGTACTCTTTTCGACTTATAGGACGCTGTTGCTGCATCCATCAATGAACCAATAAAAAAGTCGTAGTTATTTTCTAAATCCTCTCGAGAAGTATTAGAGTCAAATAAATTTATAAATTGAGAAATTCGTGGACGAAGTTTCTCAATAAATTTTTCATGTCCACCATATGAAGTTTTAAATCTACGTTTTAAAATTATGTCTTCCGAGATTCCAATTTCAAACAAAATAATTTGATGATCACTAATAGACAAACCTGTCAACACCCTCCAATTTGTTAATAGAAATTGCAAAAGGAGATGAAGCTAATGTAATATCAGGCCAACCCTTGGCTCTGACAGTCAAGAATGTTGGCTCTGAATCGGAGGAATTAAGAACACACAGTCTGTTTTCGTGGATAAAATCAAGAACTTTAGCAGCCCTATGATCTTCTTGATTTCCACCCCAAAGAGGACTCGTAGCATTAAAATCACCCGCAATAAGCAAATGATCATTATGAATAATATGTGAACAAAGTTCGGTTAAATTGCTATCTAAATCGGTCGTCGGTGGAAAATAAACGTTAGCAATATTAATACTTCTATTGATAAATTGCAAGCGAATTGTCACTGCATCTAAAGTTCTCGCCACAAAAAATGGATTTAAAGGGCCGTTATATATTATCAACGCTTTAAAAGAACCAGAAAAGAATATCTTACTACAGTTTGGTAATCCAACGATCTTGCCATCTTTGACATAAGGTTCTTGTAAGAGAGCAAGCTGTATTTCATTTCTAATCATAAAATCAATAAAATTTAAAGTAGCTGCCCTTGATCTCTGTAAATTTACTTGTGCACAAGTCAGACCCGAACCTACAGAAACTGTAATAACTATCCGGACACAAAACTGACGACTGCACACACTTTTTTTACTGTCCGGTCATCCTTGCTGAGCTGTCAAAAATTCGGGTCCTGTTTAAGAGACCGAACCTCTACGACGATAACATTTTGCAGATTGCCCGGGCTGTCATCTTTGCCCATGGCACTTTTTGAATACGCTTTACCATAAACACGACAGCAACAACAAATAGTCATGATTATAGTTAGCAAAATAAAAGTTATGGAATAAGTGCAGTCATAAAGTATGGGCACTCACTACCTGGGATCATATTTATTATTACAGGAAAGTATTAGGGGTCAATAATTTGGCAAATGTATTCTTATTCTTGAATTAAGTAGTTACAGCTAAGGCTTTTAGAAAGATACAAAAGTCCTACATTCTGTCAAAGATGGTTCTGCAAAAAATCATAAATCAGCCACAAAATATTATACATTTTGATAAATCTTCGTTTATTCGAAGATCAAAATCTTAACTAATTTGAAATCTTCATGCATCGTTGAATTGCTCTTAAATTCATGAATACAAATAAGATTCTATAGCAAGGACTGTTATCTAGTGGTTTATTACTTTATATCACGAGGATCATACCATACAGATACGATAGAACTTAAAAGAGATAAATAAAATTTTGACCTTGCTCCGGTGGATGTGCTGGTGTTGGTATTCAGAGTCGAATTCGGGTTCAGAGAAGTAACTCAGATCTTGGTCGTAAGTGCTGTAGACGCCACCGCCATTCACATCTTGTTCGTAGATCCTCAGAACAGACCGGTCCCGAATGTCCCTACATGAAAAAAGAACAAAAAATTACAGCCAGTCACGCTCTTAAAACTACACCAGAGCCATCAGACATTTACTATGAAGAATTCTGTGTCATGTTTAAAAACTAAACACGAAACAAAACTTTGCTTAAAGATAAACTTTTTTTAGAGATGTTTAGAACATAATATGGTAAAGTAAACCAGTATTTATTGTAGAATATAAATTTACAGTGCACAATTAACGGTATATTATTTGTTGCAATAACGAAAGAAATATTTTAAAATAAAAGATAACACACTAAAAAAAAGATATATGTAAACAACGGATAATAATAATAAAAGGAAAACATTCGTAAGTAATAGATGATGATAAAAGACGTATAATTAATTAATTACTAATAATCACAGAAAGACATTTGTAAACGATAATAATGAATGGAAAATATTTGTAAATAATGGAGAAAAGGATAAAAAAATAAGATGTTTATAAACAATGTGATAAAAGAAAGATACTAGTAAGTAATCGACAAAGATTAAAAGAAGAGTGTTTGAAAGCAAGGGATAATGATAATAAATGAAACATTTTTGTAAATAAAAGATAACAATAAAATGGAGATATTTGCAAAGAATAGATAATAATAGAAGATATTGGTAGTATATATATATAAACAGTAACAGAAAATATTTATAAATAATGATTAATATCAAAAGAAGACATTTGCAAACAATGGATAATGATAAAAGAATAATGCTTGTAAATAACAAATAAATTGGAACAGGATTTCCTTGTCAGGTAATAAAAGAAGTCTCTTAGGATTGTAAAGAATTTTATATTAATTAACCAATTACTATAACTTCTTTCCTGTAATCCTAACCAGGATGCAAATTAGACAGTCGAGGGATGTGAATGACGTCGAGAAATTTGAATGTTTTAGAGACAGAGTTCTTGCTAGGCATCGCCTGCAGTTTGTATTCCGTCGCCCAGCCCTGTCAGTAAATATTCTGGCTTTAGCCATTTCGCTAGCCGACGTTAAAACGCGCCATTAAAGTATTGAGCCAGTTTAAATAGGCCCTCCGATTACGTTACATTTAATTTGGAATTTCAAATTTGTTATTTTAAATATTCGTAAGCGACGGAGTTCGTTAGATTTTGTCACAATATTTCAAAGGAAGCGAGTATTCGCTTCCCAGTCTAATAAGTGAAGACGGACTTAATTCCACACATCTAGAACCCTATTGGGTTCTGTGGAGAATAAAATGATTGTAAACAAGTTTCAGAAGAGACTATTAATAAAAAATTGAATTCCACTTTGGCTTAAACTATTACTTGACAGAAAAGTGATAACTATGGATTGTGATTTTTTTTTAAATTTATGAGATAAAAGAAAACTCTTCGAAAAGGTTGCCAACAAGCGACATTTAGTTTTATGCCGCCAAAAAAAACTATTCTTCATTATTTTACAATTTATTAATATTATAGAACCGAATTTTATAGTAAAGGCTTAAGCTTATAAACGAAAAAGAAAACTGAGTTTTTTCTTTCATTTATACTATGAATTTATTTCACACTAAATTTCGTCTAAGATAAGCAGGATGACTACACAAAATTTAAGCGAACTGAAAAAACAACAACAAACGTCAAGTAAATAATTTCTTGAAATATCATTAATATTCACGACTTACCACTACTTATTGCATTTATAATTCAGTATAAATCAGAGGTCATGCAAATCTAGTGTCAACTGTGGTTATACTTTTCAATTTAATTAAATTACGTAATTTTATGCAAGGTTTGCTCTGATTAATTTGAATTATCTTATGGGAACATTTCACAGAACCCGAAGTTTATCCTCAAAATTCTTCGCTAGTTTGAATAAGACTACTTATTTGTCTCAAATGATATTTTAAAGAATAAAAATTTAATAAACGCTTTCATTTAATATGCATTACCAGACGATTTATTATTATTATTAAAATTACTGCAATTGTTTCATAACTGACTTTTTTGTTACTGTATTAAAAATTTGTTAACTCTTATAGAAAATACTTAAGTAAATATCATCAAAAATAAAAAAAATCAATATATCGAGAATTATCTATTATTAATTTCAAATCTTTAAGCCAGTTTCCTGAAGCAAAAATAGTATGTATCTCATAGCATAAAATACACGGGAATTAAAGCTTGTTCACTCATTTGAGATGCTTCGATTTTACCTTGAGCACGGAAAGAGAAAGAATTGCCAGTTTAGCTAATCAGGCTGAGACAGCAGTCAAAATAATAAACTGGACCGATACCTGTTACCACTTAATAAAATATGCTCAGTCATGTTTTGAAAGGTTACTAAACATTACCTCCTTTTCAACAGCTACTGAATTGCTATCAGAAATTCTGATAACTGGTTGCCTGAAAATTTCATAACATGCAAAAATGTTTTCAACTTTTAGCATGATTATCAACTTCAAAAAAGGTAAGTGAAGCAAAAGTTACGCAAAAATACAAGTTCATCGATAAGGATGCGCCTGATTTTAAATCAGTATATTGCGTTTCATGATATATTAATCTATTTAGTTTTTACACTCAATAAAACTTAAGAATTTTAAAAATTATCAATTGGATGTCTATGGCCAGAGATAGAAGAGCTTGGAATTCGATTTTGAGGAAGGCAAGGGCCCATCCTGGGCTGTCTGGCCATTGAAGAAGAAGAAGATTTTACACCAAAATAATTAGAAAGTAAATCTAGGAACGGGCAAGGTAACACTGAAGCTTCGCTCAGTAGTAATAACGCCAGTCTTTAACCGGCGAATTTTATTGGGGGCTTAGCCACCTGTTGCTAATCGATCATGCTTTGCCGTTGCTTAAAATCATCCAAATATGATTCAGCCTAGATATCTGGTGTGATTGTAGCAACGACATCAAATGATGCAAACAGAATAAAACTTTGATATCTGCCGTGAACCAACGGAACTCATATTCAAACTTATCAGCTATATGGCAAAAATCTAATGGAATTTGGTGTATAACCGCAGTTCTGGCTAGTACCTGAATGCCTAGAGGAAAAATTGGTAATAGAGCTTGTATCTATAGCCTGCGTCTTCTTAACTAGCTCTCTCAGGCCATGCTGCCCATTTCCAGGGTGTACCCTCTCAAAATGGGCCTTTCTAGCAATTAAAGGGCTAGTGACCTGTCTACGCAGGTTACTGCTTCCGGACTGGCTCTTATGTTTTCAGAATTTTTTACTGTTTGAAAATGTATAGTACAAAATATCTGTACAAAATATCTATGTATCCATCATCGGTGCAGTGGTAGCCACTGACCATGAAAGTGCTATCACGTTTTAAAGATGGTAAGGACCGATAAGTCTCTTTAGGTTTCTAAGTAGTCCCTCTCACGTTTCTCAATTTTGATCGGTATCGCCAAAATGTTGCATGCTTATAATAAACGTAATTATGGACAAACCAGCCCTTGTAGTCTTTTTATCCGCATTGGTTTTATTAAGAGAGGAATTCCTTGTCGTTCATCTCCCCTTTTTCTATTTTATGAAGATTCATGGATTTATGAACCTAATATAACACTACTGAGTGGGACAGGAAAGAACAACAACACAGCATCATAAAATATATAGAACGTAATCGCAGAAAGGGAAAAGGTTTTTTAAAAAGTGAGTTTTCATGAGATATACCTGAGGTCTTCGAGCTCGTAGAACATGTCCTTTGCAGGGTCATGAATGTAGACTCGGATATGTGGTGAGTCGAGATACTCCATGGTCAATTGCTTGGGAAATGAACGCACGAAGAGAGCCTTCACAGTGTCCATCGAGGTGATCTCGTTAGGAAGCAGCGCCCTCTTGGTCTCGCTCTGGTACTGCAGAAACACGAGACCTACAAAATAAAAGGAAAACAAATTAAAATGCTTTCAAATACTTTTCTTTATTTTCGACATTAACTCTTCCCAATGTGCATTTCAATAATCCATGAGACATAATTCAATAATAATGAGATTTAACCATGGTACTCTAATCTCATCTTTATTTTTAGGTGCCCCCATATATTTAATGAGTATACAGTCTGGTTTAAATCCATTACACAAAGGATATGCAATATTAACTTTAAGAAAGTTCCAAGAACACCCAGCATAAAAAAAAATCCAATAAATCTACACTACGCCCGAAATAAAGGGTGGTGAATGATGATTCTTCACCACCAGGATTTGGTGTTTGAGTCCCCTAATACCCAGTCGCCCTTTAAAAGGAGGAGTATATAAGCTATTTTCACCATCCTTTCCGCATTTCTTCAAGGTGTAACGGTACCATACTCGCAGCGTATTCGAGAGTCCAGGACAGTCCCGGCGAGGACACTATATATTTTTCATGTCTTCCTGCTTCAAAATCATCTAATCACTCTACCAGGTATATTTTTCACATGCTACCTGCTTAGGGGGTAATGCTTCAAGCGTTATTTTGGGAGCAAAGAGTTCATGATTTTGATGTTTTTACGTTCAGTCAATCTGCTGGGGAAAGTTGATGGTGTACTTAATTATGGCAAAGCACACTAGGGCTATCTGCCTAAGGGGAGGGATGCCTTCGTGGAGGACTTTCTAAGGAAAACTGGCTCGTATACACGTTACAAATGGGGAAAACCACGAAAACGCCCATGCAGCCAACCCGTTCGCGGGATTTGAACCTCGGACTGAACTACCAGTGTTCAGCGACTTTACCGCTTGGCTGCTGTTAGGCCGGGGAAAGTTGAAATGGGTGCTTGTTTCTATGTTTGTTAACAGGTGCAGATTTTATAGAATTGGTAAATGTGGGTAGCTAGAGCAGTAATTCCTCTCATACTGTTTGATCATAGAAGACTGTAGAATTTAAAATGTTATTAAAAGGAAACAGACATCGAATACGTCATAATGTTATATACATAGAAAAAAAACGGACATAATATGGTCGTCAAGAGGATCTTCTTATAAATCTTCCTAATCGAATATAAGGCCAAGATAAGCAATAACGTTTCACAATAACAACACGATCACTTTGACTAGCCCAATGAAAATTGCTGTTTCAGATTCAAATCAGTACATTTGCTATTCCAGTGAGTACTTCATGCTATACGATTTGCAAACTTCTGATATCGATGTCAATGGCGGCATCCTAAGCCAGTGGTTGGTAGCTTAACCATGACCTTAATAACCAAAAGCTTGCTTTATCCTTAATGTTCGAGGCTAGCGCTGAGTTCTTTCCGGTAAGAGTGGAAGATTTCAGGCAATTGATTACGAGGAATAATTGTGCCTGTAAAGAGATCGTCAGGTAAATCTTTAATTAACAATAATTGCGCAAAAGAAATTGACTTGAGAAACCTACGAAATTCTTTTATAAAGAAAGAGTAAAACTTACAGCTAGAAACACCTCAACACCATAGAACAACGTCTTTTACTCCTAATGAAAATGTGAAAATTTATTAATTTTTTAGAGGTATTTACATAAAAGCTTCCGCAAAGTTTTCTAATATTTTGGTCTTTAAGATGGTCATAAAACAGCTAAGAAGGTTCGAGGAGTATCCAGAATATAAGTTCCATTAGCAAATTGTGGCACTACAGCGTTCGTTGCATGTACTTAAGGTGAATTTTGTTTTACCTATTGACAAGCCACAGATGCAATGTGAAGAAAATCAGGTCGTGCTGATGCGTCAGACTTTTGAGTTTAAAATATTCATGACAACAGGGCGAACAATTCTGGGAAGTGCATTTGGAAATTGCGCTAGTGATATAGAGGTAAGGAGATGGAAAGGATCAACACATTTTGCTGCGAACAAACTCATCAGACACATACAGCCAATATTTAAAATGAAGTTCCCATATCAAAATTTTTCTTGGTAGCATCGATGACGATGATTTCAAAAAGTGCTGCGATCTAAAACAAGACGGAACATTCTACGAAACACGGTACCCGCTTAGAATATCAAAAACTGAAACCCCATTAAAAGACAATAAATTTGTAATTATGAAGAAGAGAAATTTAAGATATAACGAATACAACTACAATAAAATAATTAACAAACAAACTTTTACTTAGATCCTTAACTGGAATTTATTTTTTTCATGCCCTGCATACATTAATTGAGCATAATTTTACGATATATAAATATCCATAAATATATGCTTTAGAATATCGACATACTAAGTAATTGTTTTCTCGGTTGCTTACACCAGTCAGTGTCTTACCAAATCTTGTGCATCATATCAATATATCGTTTGCAAGATACTTTTCGTAAATATTGCATATTTCCATGCATAAGCAAGAATGTTTCGCAAACCTTTTACAACTAAAATCTGGAAAAAGGCTTATTTAGAAGTTCATAATGATTTATAAACAACTATATAAATCACATTATAGGTTAAATAACTGAAAATAATATTTTTATTCTATTTAATTGTAATATATATGAATCAAATTTCTAAGCATTCTATTTGACGTGGGATCATGTCACTTCTGCCTTTCCGTTTTCCCGCCAGAATGAAAATTTAGTTCCCGTGTATTTAAGGTTAGGGTTTTGAGATTATAAAACAGAGTGCGTTCTGCCTCTTCAGACCACTTACTAGGTTTCTGTTTTAGATAAGAGTTATTGTCGTCAGCCTTGCATTATAAACGTCGATAAAAGAAATCCATTCCGGTGAAGTTCTTAGCCAACTTCGCGTTGATATGCTCTGAGTAGCTTTTGGCTAGAAATGCTGGCGGAGTGGTAAGCAACAGATGTGTCTTCTGCTCATTTTATTTAGTTTTAATTAGTTAAGGGTCGTTTACGCCCTTCCCAAGTTTCAACGGTTATTTTAGACTTAACAACTTTGAATTTATATCACTACCCTCAATTTCGCCATTAACATTGCTGACATCTGTATCGTAGATAATATTTTCAGTGCCATTCATAGCAGGACTTAGCAAAAGTGATAACTTTTAATTTAAAATTAACAGATGGCCTCATCATTTTTTTCGGATACCTTTCGCTGTACAGCAGAAGTGAAGAATTTTATTTTACTCGTGAACAACGGAGAAGGGTAAACTTAAAAAAAAAAAAAAAAAAAAAAAAAAAAAAAAAAAAAAACCTGAATGTCTCAGATTTAAATTAGTCCAAGGCGCGTTTTTTAACATTTTGTGTGTTACCTTTATTTATTAAATATCATGTTTTCGCACTCCAGAGAATTCAATTCAACACCAATATCGCAAAATAATTTTAAAATGAGCACGTCTTTAGAATTTCCGATACACAGTCTCGCGCGCTGGAGATAATCCCCCCCCCGTACAGTGTTGGCATTCTCGCTTTCAAATCCCTGAGTTTGTTAATAAAAAATTCGTTGAAGTTTTACAAAACATGAAATCGATCATAAAACAAATTCCAAATTTAAAATTTGGTCTTCCACAATGCCCATGTTCATTGGAGGATTACGTCATTCAAAATTTGATGGCTCTAGGTACCGTTGTTTTAATCACAATGCGAGAAATATACATACATTTATGCAGATTTTTCATTATTTAATTTCTTTAAATATAACACAGGGCGATAATACTTTGCGGCAATAGTTTGAAAAGTGATTCGCCGTTTGTAGTGCAAAATCATAAAACGAAAACAATAGTCCTTAAGGGACAAAGCCCCTTTGGACTAAAGAAAAAAAAATTAAAATTAGACACGTCTCTTTCAAAGCACCAGATAATGCAAATGTCCGAAAGTTAGAAGAACTTAGGGAGAGAAACTATTAATTCTCCAAACTGCAGTTTTTTTCTAGAATACTCTCATCCCTATTTTTCGAACGGAAGCTGGAAATAAATAGACTTCAGCTCGCTTGATACGTCTTTCAGTTTTGGTTGAATTTTTGCAGTAAAATCTCGGCTTGTATTTGGAAATAATCGAGACCACTCTGTTCTAAAATTGAAGTTATAATTTTAAAAAAATGAAATCTGTTTATCCAGAAAATGATTTTCATTATTCGCAGTAAGCCACACATTTCATATTTATTTCACTGACGAAGACTTCATTGATAACAAATGACATTTTTTATTCCCGAAACATATCTAACTGCAAGCAATTTATTACGCTAATGGAAACTTAATTGCACCGTTAGAAAGCAGATTTAGAAGCTGCTGTTAAGCGCATAATTAAGCCTTCACAGGGAAATGTATAAATATTTATTGCGGTTTCAATGACCTTCGATAAATTTAATTGTCACCATAATAACGAGTACATTACAATGGAATAATGAATCATAGCAACGAATTACAGGGTAGAGGAGAAAATGAATATTTATACTCAGTACAAATGGCAAATAGGCAAACGTTTGGGATCATAATGCTGATCTAAGGATCATTAATATTTAGCGCACATAGCAAATTAATCGCAAATCAGAAATTTCAAATAAATAATGATTCCCCAGGAAGACATTATTATCATTGACTATATATTGTTATATTTTTTTGATTTTTTTTTAACTTTATGTCAGAATGAAACCTCACACTTTATTATTATTATTTATAAACGTATGATTTCTTTAGTTTTACGACTATATTCTCTTTCAGCTTTAACGTGTTTGTCTACAATAAAATATTCGAAGGCCTGGATTAACAGAAATAGTAAAGATATAACATTAAATCAGTACTTCTGAAAGCCAGTATTGCTCCATTTTTTAAATGATTTTTTTTAAATATTTTCTAACATTTTACAGGTAAATAAATATTAGGGATATTTTATAACTAAGCTGTCCAATCGTATAAAATAAGCTTACGACAAAAAATAATGATATTGTCCCAGATACATTCACTCATACAGTTAATTTTCATTTTTTAAAAGGTAAATTAAACTTCATATAGAAATATCCTTCCATTAAAAAAAACCGAAAT